ATTGGCCATGGACCCACGCCACCAGTATCCAGTATGAACCAGTGGCAGAGATCGGAGGAGGCGCTTACGGGACTGTTATAAGGCCAGAGACACGGAGAGCGGGCAGTTTGTTGCTCTGAAGAGCGTGCTTGTCCAGACGGATCAAAATGGCCTGCCGATCTCCACGGTCAGAGAGGTGGCTCTGTTTTGAGAAGGCTGGAGCAGTTTGACCACCCAAATGTTAGTCAGGTAAATGTTTTTTATTTTTTTTCAGTATTTCAGTCTATGTCATCTGTAATCCACTGACTAAACCTCTCACAGAAGTCACAGTATTATTTCTACATGCCAGGCTCATGGATGTATGTGCCACCCAGAGGTCAGACCAGGAGACAAAGTCACTCTGGTCTTTGAGCATGTGGACCAAGACCTCAAGACGTACCTCGAGAGAGCTCCAGCTCCGGCTTATCTCCTGGCCGCATTAAAGTGAGAAACAGTATCTAAAGTAAACTGCATAATTGTGAAATTCGTCACAAGATAGAAACAGTATGAGCCTTTTGTTAGTCAGCGATAGAAGCCCGATTTCGAAAGTTAATCTGTTTTTTTTTATATTTGGAGTCATTTAAAGTATGCCTGTGTGTGTGCGTGTGTGTGTGTTTTTTTTTCTTTTGCAGGACTTGATGAGGCAGTTTGCTGTGTGGTCTTACATTCCTTCACTCTAACCGCGTGATGCACAGAGACCTGAAACCAGAGAATATTCTGGTAACCAGCCAGGGCCAGGTGAAGCTAGCTGACTTTGGGCTAGCCAGGATCTACAGCTGCCACATGGCTCTCACTCCTGTTGTACGGACGCACCTGGACCATGCAGTGCCAGTACTTTTTCATGTCATTTATACAGCATTTTTTCAAAGCATAGCATCATTTTTTTTTTCAAAGATATTTAGATTTTAACCATTCATACAAGCTGCTGTTATCATCTATTTCAGTTCAAAAAACAAATCAACCTTTAGCCGTTGAATAATTTGACTGAGATAACTAATCTATTAAGTCGCAGTTAAATTTCTTCATTGATGATACATCCAGTGGTCCAACATTAACCCTGTGAATACAAGACACGACCAACTTCACAGAATCCTTTTGGCAACGTCCACGTCAAATCTTGGATGAGCTTCCTTGAATTCATATTAAAGGATCAGTTTTAACAAGACTAAGAGTCGACAGCCACCCTAGCAGCTGTGTGAGCATACTGACATGTTCGCAGTGATTGTGCTAACATGGTGTTGTTGTTTAGAGGGTAGCTAATGTTTACCAGGCTCACAGTCTTAGCTAAGACTGTTAACATTTGCTCAACACAATGTACAGCTTGAAATTCATACTGTAGTAAATGTATTTAAAAAACTGGCCACCTGAGAGTTTTGTAAACTGCTATGTCGAAACACTGAAGTTAAATTACGGCAATTTTCATCACTAACAAGCCAAAACCTGCCAAGCCACCAGTATAGTACTTTAATATGATCCCTGTGAATGTTACTATCTACACGTACTACTTTTGATGGACTCTATATTTGTGTCTCCCAGGTGGTGACACTGTGGTATCGCCCTCCTGAAGTGCTGCTACAGTCCAGTTACGCCACACCTGTGGACATCTGGAGCACCGGCTGCATCTTTGCTGAGATGTTCCGACGCAAGTGAGTCAGCAGAGTCGTTTTCAGATAAAAAAAAAAATAAGACAGACCACACTAACGTTCTTTATGTTAGTGTGTCTGTTATGATGAGATTATAATCTCTGTATTTGTAACAAACACATTTTGATACAATTTGGTGAAAAGAGAAGCTTTGGACAGTGCATTAGATTTTGACGTTGACCTGAGTCAAAGTGAGTTGTAATTTCTCATATAACTCCTCAAGACAGTCCAGAGTTTCTAAATCTAATAGACACACACACACACACACACAACACACACACACACACACACACACACACACACACACATACACATACACACACACACACATACACACGCACACACACACACACACATACACATACACATCCACACCAACACATACACACGCACACACACACACAACCAAAACACACACACACACATACAATACACATTCGCACACACACACACACATACACATACACACACACACACATACACACGCACACACAACCACCATTTACCTTTGCAAATACATTTGATTTATATTGATTTGATTTAACAAATATGTTTTGGAGGAAACTCTTGCTTTATTCCGTATACTGCACATAAATCATAAGAAAGGAGGCTAGGGCATATGGGATGTCTCTCCTCTTATTTGTTGTTCGGTTTGGGTTACTAAAACACTGTAGGTAAGTTTAGGGAAAGACTGTGACTTTGGTTAAATATTGACAAAAGTCTTGTCCCGTCTTGTACTTTAAGTCACGCTTTAGTTGCCATGAGTGAAAACAAATGAAATACATTTGCAGCAAACAGCTTGAAAATACATTCAATATGAACATCTCCGTGTTATGTTTGAATAAAAACTCCACCTCTAGGCTCGTCTCATTGCCTATAGAGGGCATACTGGTGATGCGAGTGTCCAGATTTTATCTGTAAATGAATCACATTATGAGGTTATCTGTGGCTCTGGGGAAATCTGTTCCGAGCCTCAGGCTGTCGGGAGGTGAATTGTTGAAAAACAGCAGGGCTTTGCCAGACACAATGTTACAGCAAAATCTAAATCTAGTCTACTTCAGTCTTACCCCTCTTCAAGAAAGCATACAAACAAAAAAAAACTGCTGTAATACAGAATTTAATTCAACTTCAAAGGTCAGACCCCCTTACTAGTTTTTCAAGACTGCCCCAAACTCGAAATTCAGTTGCCCCCTGGAGGGGGTCAGGTATCTCTTCCATGCCAACAGAAACCCAGCTCACGGACAATGACCTGCTCCTTCACTAGTGTTGGTGCAAAAGTCATAATCAGTGAATTTAGAGACAAGACATGATAGTAAGTATTTTGTGACTGGTTTACCTGAGGTGATGTGTGGCGGAAAGCTTTAAAGACACCAGACTGTTCTACATCATCTTCCAGATCAGCTCAGTGATACACACAGTAGCTCCATCTACTGGTAGAAGTGACACTTTGCATGACGATGTTGGTTCAGCTTGGGTAAAGATATTCATGCCTCACAATTATTGCTTTGTTTGCTTAGACCGTTGTTCTGTGGTGAATCAGAAGTGGATCAACTTGGGAAAATTTTTGAGTGAGTAACACACAGCTTCCATCACGTTTAGCCGACTAAGACATGTATTGGTAGATGGATTCATATTATACTTGTTTCAATGACAATAATATGTAATTTCAGAGTTATTGGCTTGCCACCAGAGGACGAGTGGCCGACTGACGTCACACTGTCAAGAAAAAACTTCCCCCCTCTCATGCCTCGCCCAATTGCTGACTTTGTTTCAGAGATAACTGAGCAGGGGGCACAACTATTGCTGGTAAGATTTGGTTTGGAACTTGAAAAGATTTTTAATTATAGTGAAAGTCCATCCTGCCTGGTAACTCGCTGTCAGCTGTAAACAGAGTTGGAATCAGGACAGTAA